CCCATATGATGGAATACTATTTGGCAATGAAAAGGGAATGGAGTACTGATACATGCTACGTCATGGATAAACCTGGAAAACATTAAGCGAAGTGAAGGAAGCCAGATGCAAAAGATGACATATTGTATAATTTCATTTATATGAAATATCCAGGAAAAGTAAATATGCAGAGACAAAAGTACATTAGTAGTTGTGTTGACCTGGGGGTGGGAACAGGAGAGTGGCTACAAAACAAGAGAATTCTGTGGTTTGTAAATTACATCACTAAATAAATTACTAACAAAATCAGATTTTACTCATACACATAGATGCAAAATCCTCAACAAAATATTAGCAAACTAATTCCAGAATGCATAACAAAGATAGGACGGGCATGGTGGCTCACGCCTGTAATCCCAGCAGTTTAGGAAGCTGAGGGGAGTGGATTACCTGAGGTCAGGAGTTCGAGACCAGCCTGGCCAACACGGCAAAACCCCATCTCTACTAAAAATACAAAAATTAGCCAGGCATGGTGGCGCACTCCTGTAATCCCAGCTACTCGGGAGGCTGAGGCAGGAGAATCACTTGAACCCGGGAATCCAGGAGGCAGACCACTGCACTCCAACCTCGGCGACAGAGCGAGACTCCGTCCCAAAAATATATATATATATATTTTTTGGAGATGGAGTCTCGCTCTGTCGCCCAGGCTGGAGTGCAGTGGCCGGATCTCAGCTCACTGCAAGCTCCGCCTCCCTGGTTTACGCCATTCTCCTGCCTCAGCCTCCCAAGTAGCTGGGACTACAGGCGCCCGCCACCTCGCCCGGCTAGTTTTTTTGTATTTTTTAGTAGAGACGGGGTTTCACCGTGTTAGCCAGGATGGTCTCGATCTCCTGACCTCGTGATCCGCCCGTCTCGGCCTCCCAAAGTGCTGGGATTACAGGCTTGAGCCACCGCGCCCGGCCAGTCCCAAAAATATTTTAAAAAAGGTATAACAAAGGTAATGTAAGCTGTCAATGCAATTATACTGTAATTAATTGCATGATATATTACATATAATAAAACAATTATTTCTGGGAGGTGGCATATTATTAACTCAAAGTAGACTATGATGAGTCAAGGGTCAATATTGTAATTCCCTAAGCAACCACTAAAAATAATCCAAAGATACATATTGTCAATAGATAGAATATAATACTAAAAACCAAACAAAAAATACCTGATGCAAACAAAAGAACACAGGAAATTCCACTGGCCTTTTTTGGAGAAATTGTCGAGCTTATGCTAAAATAGGAAAATGGGAAGGAACTCATTTTCAACCAAAGTCCAACCCAAAGACTTGTACAATAGCCAAAATTATTTTGTAAAGGAACAACTAGGCCGGGTGCAGTGGCTCACACCTGTAATCTCAGCACTTTGGGAGGCTGAGGTGGGCGGATCACCTTAGTTCGGGAGTTTGAGACCAGCCTGACCAACATGGAGAAACCCTATCTCTACTAAAAGTGCAAAATTAGTCAGGCGTGGTGGCGCATGCGTGTAATCCCAGGTACTTGGGAGGCTAAGGCAGGAGAATTGCTTGAACCCAGGAGACGGAGGTTGTGGTGGATAAGGACCGGCAGATAGATCAGTTTGGTTAACTGATTTTCAACAAAGGTGGCAAAGTAATTCAATGTGGGACTGAATAGTCTTTCAGGCAAATGGTGCTGAACTGGTTATCTGTGTAGAGAAAAAGAACGTGTATATCTGTATAGAGAAAAATAATCTCAATTCCTCCTTCATACCATACGCAAAAATTAAGTCAAATTGAATCATAAACCCAAACAAAAAAGATAAAACGATAAAGCTTGTAGAATTAAACAGAGGAGACAATTTTCATGATCTTGAGATAGATATTTCTTAGACCACATAATGTACTAACTACAAAATTAAAGATAATCAACAGGGCTGGGCGCAGTGGCTCACACCTGTAATATCAGCACTTTGGGAGGCCCAGGCGGGTGGACTACTTGAGCTCAGGAGTTTGAGACCAGCCTGGGCAACGTGGTGAAATTCCATCTCTGCGAAAAATTAGCTGGGTGTGGTGGTGCTAGCCTGGGCCACATGGTGAGACCCTGTCTCCATAAACAATTTTAAAAATAGGCTGGGCACAGTGTCTCACGCTAGTGTAATCCTAGCACTTTGGGAGGCCAAGACAGACAGATCACTTGAGGTCAGGAATTCAAGGCCAGCCTGGCCAACATGGCAAAACCCCATCTCTACCAAAAATACAAAAATTAGCCGGGTGTGGTGGTGGGCGCCTATAGTCCCAGCTACTTGGGAGGCTGAGGCAGGAGAATCACTTGAACCTGGGAGGTGGAGGTTGCAGTGAGCTGAGATTGCACCATTGCACTCCCGCCTGGGTGACAGAACAAGACTCCATCTCAAAAAAAATTAATTAATTTTTTAAAAAAGGCTAGGCAATATATCAAGTACTGGTGAGAACGTAGAGTAATAGGAATACTCATACCAAGCTGAGGAGAGTGTAATTTGGTATAATCACTTTTGCTCCACTCCTAGGTATATAATTTAGAGGAAGTCTTGCACTTGTCACCAGGAGACATGCACAAGAATGTTTACAACAAAATTATTATAATAGCAAAAAAAATACAACCTAAATGCCTACATATACCACATACTTTGTGGAATATACTACATACACAGTGGAATTTATGCAGAAGTGAAAATGAACTGCAGTACACATACCCACATACAAAGTTTAACATTGAGCAGAAGATGCAAGACAGATGAATACGGACCGAAAGAGCACCACCACGCCCAGTCCATTTATGTAAAATATAAAAACTGTATCATGTTCAGGATTTCATTCATAGGTGAAGAATTAAAAAGAAAAGCAAGAAGGTGATTAATACAAGAGTCAGGGTCATGGTTACTTCTTGAGTGAAGGGATCTGGGAACAGCAAACGGACCCTTTCTAAGATGCTGATAGTTTTCTATATTTTAAGCAGAGTGGAGAGTTCATGGGTACTCATTTTATTATCATTATTTTTTATTTTTTGGTTAAACAGGGTCTCACTCTGTCACCCAGGCTGGAGTGCAGTGGTGCGATCTCCGCTCACTGCAACCTCTGCCTCCCAGGCGCAGGTGATCCTCTCACCTCACCCTCCCTCATTTTATTATTCTTCTTTAAACTACACATACACATTTCATTTGCTTTTTGTATATATATTTCATAAAACAAAAACCAGGCTGGGCGCGGTGGCTCAAGCCTGTAATCCCAGCACTTTGGGAGGCCGAGGCGGGTGGATCACGAGGTCAGGAGATCGAGACCATCCTGGCTAACATGGTGAAACCCCGTCTCTACTAAAAATACAAAAAACTAGCCGGGTGTGGTGGCGGGCGCCTGTAGTCCCAGCTACTCGGAGGCTGAGGCAGGAGAATGGCGTGAACCTGGGAGGCGGAGCTTGCAGTGAGCCGAGATCGCGCCACTGCACTCCAGTCTGGGTGACACAGCGCGAGACTCCGTCTCAAAAAAAAAAAAAAAAAAAAAAAACCAAGTAGATCACGCTAAGTGAAAGAAGCCATTCACAAAAAACCACATATTACATGTTCCATATATGACATGTCTGGGATAGGAACATCTACAATCACAGAAAGTAGATGGCTGGGTGCAGTGGCTCATGCCTGTAATCCCAGCACTTTGGGAGGCTGAGGCAGGTGGATACTTGAGGTCAGGAGATCGAGACCATCCTGGCTAACACAGTGAAATCCCATCTCTACTAAAAATACAAAAGATTAGCCAGGCGTGGTGGCACGTGCCTAGGAGGCGGAGGTTGCGGTGAGCCAAGATTGCGCCACTGCACTCCAGCCTGGGCAACAGAGAGAGACTCTGTCTCAAAAAAAAAAAAGAAAAGAAAAGAAAAAGAAAGTGGATTAGTGGTTGCCTAGGACTAGGGAGGTGGGAGATAAATGGGGGGTGACTGCCAACGGCCATAGGGTTCCTTTTCCGGATAAGGAAATGTTCTAAAATTGATTGTGGTGATGGTTGTACGACTCTGCGAATATACTAAAAAACTATTGTACAAACTTAAATGGGCGAATTGTATGGCTTGTGTATTATATCTCAATAAAACTTTTTTAAAAAGAGAGCTAGGGAAGTGGGATGCCCAGAAAGGCTCAGAATGGGTGATGAGACGGTAAAGCTGAAAAAGATGAAAGTGAGACAGGAGTGCTCTGCAGCAGTGGTTCTCAAACTGCAGCATGCACCCCAGTCACCTGGAGGGCTTGATAAAACACAGGCTGGGGTCCTTCCCCAGGTTACTGGATTCTCTAGGTCTAGCGTGGGGTCGAGAACCTGCATTTCTAACAAGCTCCCAGGTGATGTTGATGCTGCTGGCCTAGGGTTTGCTCTCTGAGAACTGCTGCTCTGTAGTGCCCATATAGGTGTGCAATAAGTACGTACTGGAGAAGTGAATGAACGGCTGGAGGGGTAGTTGGTTGGATGTTGGGGTAAGTGAGTAGATTAGAGTTGAGTGGTTGAATGGATGGATAAAAAAATAGACGGATGCATGAACTGGTGGGTGGAGGATGGATGGATGGGAGGTGGTTCAAGGCTGGAGGGGTAGTTGGTTGGATGTTGGGGTAAGTGGGTAGGTGAGAGTTGAGTGGCTGAATGGATGAATAAAAAATAGATGGATGCATGAACTGGTGGGTGGAGGATGGATGGATGGGAGCTGGTTCAGAGTAGTAGGGGAAAAGATGAGGCTGGAGAAGTTGTAGTGTGGAAAGCAGTGTAGAGAAGGACTTCATGTCAAGACCTAGTTTCGACTCTTGGGTTCACCACCTGCTAGCTATACAGTTAGTCAAATGACTTCACCTCCCTGAACCTCATTTTTTCATGTGTGAAATATAGGTAAATAAAGCCTATGAATCTTCCATGAGCTAATGCCCCTGAGAGAGCGCAGCACAGGGTCTGGCATGCAGTGGCATGAATGAATCTCTACTCTTTGCCAGAATCTGACAATTACCATCATATATCACTGGGCTGTACTGTGTGCTTGAGACTAGAGGCTTGTAATTCAGGTCCATCTTGTTCCCATAGTGACCGATGCTGACCTCGAAATGGATCAGGTCTTCAAAGTTGGGCATCATGGTGCAGGAGAGGAAGATGACGCACAGCCCATACTTTTGGCGGTTCTGGTGCTTCTAAAACAATAACCGCCCCACCCCCCATCCCCAGTACATAAGCCAAGGGTTAGATTGATGGGCAGGGAAGCAAGGATGAGGTACTCTCTCTCTTTCAAAGCCATCTTCCCTTCTCTCCCTCTCAAAGGCCTTCAGAGGCTCCCTCGCACCCAGCTGATCCAGGGCAGTTCCTCCAGGACTTCCATCACCTGGCCCCTCCACCCAGCCAGCCCTGGCTCCCTCCCTTCCTGAAATCAGGGCGCTGGGAAGGGGGTGGTCTCCTCCCTTGTCAGGGTAGGCTCTGCGTTGGGCCACCCCATCTCCATTCCAAGCAGAGATGCTTCTTCCTTTTTGACTAAACCCTTTCCCTCAGAAGACACAGTGTGGATAGGGGTGTAGAGCTGAGATTTTACACAAACCCACACCCACCCCCACCCCCGCCCCACACACACACATGCATACTACCAGAAAGGTTGAACCTTCCCACTGCCTGCTCCAGCTGCCCACTAGCCCCCCAACCTTGGCTGTTCTCACCAGGCGCCTGCTTGGGTCTCCTGTCCATCATATTAGTCCCTCTTGCTTCTGTTGCCAACCTCTGCCCCATTCGTGCATCCCCCAGTCTGTTCACTAGCTCAGGTCTGCCCTATTTAAAAAAATAACTTTCCTTCTCCCATCTGAACCCCGTTTAGCTACCACCTGTTCTCATTTCCTTTCACGTTAAAAAAATTTACTTTGAGACCAGGCGCAGTGGCTCACACCTGTAATCCTAGCACTTTGGGAGGCCGAGGTGGGCGGATCACTAGGTCAAGAGATCAAGACCATCCTGGCCAACATGGTGAAACCTCATCTCTACTAAAAATACAAAATTAGCTGGGCGTGGTGGTGCATGCCTGTAATCCCAGCTACTCGGGAGGCTGAGATAGGAGAATCGCTTGAACCCAGGAGGCAGAGGTTGCGGTGAGCTGAGATCGTGCCATTGCACTCCAGCCTGGGCAACAAGAGCGAAACTCTGTCTCAAAAAAAAAAAAAGAAAAAAAAACCTTTTATTTTTTAGAGATGTGGTTTCACTATGTTGCCCAGGCTGGTCTCAAACTCCTGGGGCTCAAGTGATCTTCCTATCTCAGACTCCACACTTGGCTTTTAATCAGGTTTCTTAGAAGGTTTGTCTCTGTGCACTGGCTCCTACCTCTCCCTCCCACCTACGGCAGCCCAGCTTCTCTCCTAGCCAATCTCCAAGGCTACTGACCTCTTCCTAATAACCAGCATATGTCTCTCAGTCCTCGCCCTTTCTCTCTGCCACATTCAAGATTGCTTGTCACTCCTTTCTGCAAATCTCCACTCCTGAGTCCACCTCTGCAGGTTCCTCTCCAACCTCTTCTACAAACCCCTTCTCTTCTTTTACCTGCCTCTAAAGACTGTGGCATCCTCAAAACTTCCTTCTCCTTTCATTCCACCTACTCTCCTCAGGCAGTTTCTTCCACGACCACAGGTTCAAACCTTGGTGTGTTGATGTCACATCCCTGTGTCTAGCAGGCTCCAGAGCTGGTCTCTGTTGATGTCTCACACTACATGTCAGAGATGGGGCTCACCATTTCCCTCATATCTTCTCCTTCTTTAGAGAGCCCACCTTGGTGCATCGCACCCCTGACCACCTCATCACCCATGGCAGAAAATGGGCCTCAGCAAGGGGAGTCAGCCTCACTTATTGTGTTCTGTTGGTCACTGGCTCTGGACATTCTGTTTCCAAAGGGTCTCTGAAACCTACCCACCTCCTCTCCAGCTCTCTGCCAATGAGGCTGTATTCCTGCTTCTCTTGACTGGGTGACCCCAACTTACTCTCCTCCAGTCTATTGTTACTGCTCCTCCTGCCCCTTCCCGCCTCAGTAAGTAGCCCTCCACTGGCTTCAGGAAGAAACTCAAATCCCTTAGATTGTTTTACAAAGCCCTGAGAAACTAGGTCATAAATTAACACCATTTCTCCTTAACCATATCAGGGATCCTTTTTTTTTTTTTTGAGATTGAGTCCGCTCTGTCACCAGCGCTGGATGCCAGTGCATGATACCTTGTCTCACTGTAACCTCCACCTCCCTGGTTCAGCAAGCTTCCTGCCTTCAGCTACCACAGTAGCCTTGACTACAGCGCATCCCATGCTCGCTAATTTTTTTTTTTTTTGTAACCTTTTTCCCCAACAGACAGCGGCTCCCTTCATCATCTCGTCTGCCTCGGCGGCCTACTGCCAACTCCATGCGGGCTCCAAGTGACCGTCCCCTACCTCGGTCTCCAAGAGTGGCCTGGGATTAAGTATGAGCCAGCGCCTGGCCCCAGATTAGGTCATTTCTAAACTCGAAACCTTAATCTTTCTCCCATCCAGCGGTCCCAACCACGCGATTTTGCTGCACGCATGGAGCCATAGCAGGGGTTAGTAATATATCAGGCTGTTGTCAAGCCATCCTTACACACTCCAAAAGCAAAAAGCCCCCCAGAGCCCAGGCTCTCTTGCCGCTTCAGAACTGGGATCCCCATAGACTGGTGGCAACAGGGCTCTGTTTTATCCTCGGTTACCTGCTTTCTGGGCAGTACCCCTCTATCCTCGGTCCACTTCATGGCGAAGAGATCCTTCTTATATCGTGGAGCTCTTGCGGCTGCATTAGGGTGATTAACTCCAGAAGAATCCGGCCTCACCCGATACGCTCAAAAACCCATCCCTAACGAGTCGCGAAATACTAGGGCACAGCGCGAAAAAACCGAGAAAAGGCTGCGAGAAAACAGAAAAGGGGAGAGAAAAAGAACAGGCCCCTCAGCCGGTGCACGCGGCTGGCCTCAGCTCTAATGCCAGCACTTCTTGTGGGGACCGAGGACCGGCGGATGCACTAAGGCGTCCACACCAGATCGTAGCATCCTGCTGAACACGTGACACCTCGCTACTACTTAAAAAATACAAAAAGCCTACCGCTGGCGAGGTGGCGGGCGCCTGTGGTCCCAGCTACTTCGGAGGCTGAGGCAGGAGAATGGCGTAAACCCGGGCACAGAGCTTGCAGTGAGCTGAGATCCGGCCACTGCACTCCAGCCCGGGCGACAGAGCGAGACTCCGTCTCAAAAAAAAAAAAAAAAAAAAAAAAAGAACAGGCCAATCTCCTTTGAAACCCTTGAGGCAAAGACAAGGTTGTCCAGTCACTGCCTGCCCGGGGCTTACTCCAACCACAATCCCAGAGAATTCCAGACACCTCCACGCCAGGAAACCTCTGGGCACTGAGCCCTCTTCTGCACCCTGGGAACCTGCCTGCCCCATGGAGGCCCCTGTTCCCCCAATTCTTTCCGGCTGGGTGGGAACTGTGTTCCCACAATGCTTCCGGCTGGGTGGGAACTGTGTTCCCACAATGCTTCCGGCTGGGTGGGAACTGCCATCACTGAGTCTGCACTCCCCGCCGGGCCAATCAGAGCCCGCCCCGCCTCCTTGGCCACAGGGATCCGAGGGGAGCACAGAGGCCCTAAGGAGGCCAATTAGAACGCCTCCCCGGCCCTCCCCGCTGGAGGCAGTGTGGTGAGGTTCCCAGCCCGGAGGCCTGACTGCGGGAGAAGGGAATGAGGCGGGGTGGGGTGGGGAAAGGAGAGGGAGGGCCTCCCAGTGGCCTTGAGGGCCAGTGCCTGTGGTTCTTCCTCAGCATCCTTCCCTGCCTCGTTCCTTCCCAGTGCCTCTTTGCACTGTCAGAAACTGGGATGCACAGTAGATCCGGGCAGACAGGAGTCTTGTTTTTCCCTGGGTTTAAGACAGTGTGAGTTGGGTTTCTGGCATTTACCGCCGTTCCTGAATAACCTCGTGCTTGCTCACACTTGCCTGTGCTGTGTCCTCTGTCCTGCGCGCCCTTCCCGCCTGCTGAAAATCCTACCATGGTTTCCTCTCAAAGCCCCTTCCTCAGGGAAAGCCCAGAGCTTCCGCCTGCTCCTTTCTGGTGCCCCCACGCCTGTCCCACATGCACGTGGCTGCTCATGGACAGGCTTCACGTCCCCCCCAAGACCCCGAGGGACAGAAACCAGGGCACGTCCCAGGCCCTAGTGCTTTACTGGGGGCAGCTCCACCTCCGCTGTCCCCTAGAGCTGATGTGACAAGCTTACAGCGCCTTCTTCCTGGATCCTGAAAGGGGCCTTTTTACCCCCGTGCAGAGTCAGGAAGCTGGGGCCAAAGCAGGGCAGGAAGCCAGAGTACGCGCCTGGAAGGAGAGAGAGTGAGAAGGGTCGGGCGCAGGACGAGGGGTGTGGGACGTGGGCTCGAGACTTTGCTTGCCTTCGATCTCTTCTCCGGTGGACGAGATCTGGTTGAGGGACAGGCTGGCACTCCCAATCTCATCCGAGCAGTCCTTCCTGTGGCTGGAGAGAAACACTCCTCAGGCTGAGCCCCTGGCCCAGCCCTCATTTCCTCCTTCCCTGTGTGCTTCACCCTCCACCAGGTTGCTCACCAGTCCAAGACTCTGAACTTGATGTAGCTGGAGAGGCAGGGTAGCTGTCGGGGGAAGGACAGAGGAGTGGTGGGTACACATTCGGATGGTCTGGTCCTCGTGGAGATTTTAAGAACAGGTAAGGAGTCGCGGGTCTGGGACCAACTCCTGGCTCAGGTACCAGCGAGCCACTTAATCATAGAAAAACTGGATTTCCAACCAGGCTGATGGAGCTTTGGCTTTAGGGCTTCTTATTTGTTTTCTGGGGGTTTGTTTTCTTTTGAGACAGGGTCCTCCTCTGTCACCCAGACTGGAGTGCAGTGGCATGATCATAGCTCACTGCAGCCTACACCTCTGAGGCTCAAAGCGATCCTCCTGCCTCAGCCTCCTGAGTAGCTGGAACTATACAGGCACCTGCTGCCAAACCTGGGTAATTAAAAACAATTTTTTTTTTTTTTTTTTTTAGGTGCCTTACTATGTTGCCCAGGCTTGTCTCAAACTCCTGGGCTTGAGCAATCCTCCTGCCTCAGGCTCTCAAAATGTTGAGATTATAGGTGTGAGCCATCTCGCCCAGCTGGGCCTCCCATTTGAATGGGCCCCTTGCAGGGTCCTGGGAGGGGCCTGGAACTTGTCATATGATCGTTTTGTATTTGTGTTTTTAAAATGGCCCTCTGGCCAGGCATGGTGGCTCACACCTGTAATTCCAGCACTTTAGGGGGCTGAAGTGGGCGGATCACTTGAGCAGCCTGGGCAACATGATGAAATCCTCTCCCTACAAAAAATACAAAAATTAGCTGGGTGTGGTGGCACTCACCTATAGTCCCAGCTACTCAGGAGGCTGAGGTGGGAGGATTGCTTGAGCCCATGAGGTTGAGGCTACAGTGAACCATGATCGTGCCACTGTACTCCAACCTGGGTGACAGAACAAGACCTTGTTTCAAAAAAGAAAAAAAAAAAAAGTCCCCTAATTGCATAAGCTTCAGGCCCTGCGACACCTGAGTCTGCCCTGACTGTGGGCTGGTAGATATTACTGTCCTCGCACGTCCCCTTTCAGTCTGAATGCACATTCACCAAACCATCTCATGGAGAGGCCATGGGCCCGGAATGTCTTCATCATGTCTAGCCATCAACTTTTTAAACAGTGGTATATCTGTCTCCTCAAAGAATAAATAAGCCAGGCACGGTGGTGCAAGTCTGTAATCCCAACACTTTGGGAGGCCAAGGTGGGCAGATCACCTGAGGTCAGGAGTTCGAGACCAGCCTGGTCAACATGGAGAAATCCCATCTCTACTAAAAATACAAAATTAGCTGGGCATGGTGACACATGCCTGTAATCTCAGCTAGTCGGGAGGCTGAGGCAGAAGAATCGCTTGAACCCAGGAGGCGGAGGTTGCAGTGAGCCAAGATCACGCCATTGCACTCCAGCCTAGGCGGCAAGAGCGAAACTCCGTGTCAAAAAAAAAAAAAAAAAAAGAAAGAATAAATAATAATAGCTGCCTCGTCGGGCGCGGTGGCTCAAGCCTGTAATCCCAGCACTTTGGGAGGCCGAGGCGGGCGGATCACAAGGTCAGGAGATCGAGACCATCCTGGCGAACATGGTGAAACCCTGTCTCTACTAAAAAACACAAAAAACTAGCCGGGCGAGGTGGCGGGTGCCTGTAGTCCCAGCTACTCGGGAGGCTGAGGCAGGAGAATGGCGTAAACCCGGGAGGCGGAGCTTGCAGTGAGCTGAGATCCGGCCACTGCACTCCAGCCTGGGTGACAGAGCGAGACTCCGTCTCAAAAAAAAAAAAAAAAAAAGAAAGAATAAATAATAATAGCTGCCTCTTTAGGAGGTTTCTGTTGCCCCTGGCTTGTGCTAAACAAATTCCATAGACCAGCGGAGTGGGCTCTCCTAAAAAACTCTTGAACCAGGTGCTATGATTATTCCCATTTTCACATGGGAAAGCTGAGATCAGAGAGGTTGAGCTCCTGAAGTTCTCATGCTACATTCAGTTGCCAAAGCCTCAGAGCCCCTAACCACTCTGCTATAACCCTGTGGGGGCTGTGATTGTCCCTATAAAGAGTTGGGGAATGAGGCCTAGAGAGGCAGAGGGACTTGCTCAAGGTCATGTAGTAAGGGGTGGAGTCAGGATTCCAACCCAAGTTTCTGTGTCCTATCTTCACTCTATAATATAGTTTCCTTAATTATTTTTAAAAAGAAAGAAAAGAGGCCAGATGCAGTGGTTCATGCCTGTCATCCCAGCACTTGGGAGGCTGAAGTGGGAGGATTGCTTGAGGCCAGGAGTTCAAGACCAGCCTGGGCAACATAGTGAGACCCCGTGACGAACCCCTCTCTATCAAAAATACAAAATTAAGCTGGTGCATGGTGGCTCGTGCATGAGTTCCCAGCCTACTCGTGGAGGTCTGAGGCACAAGAATGTCTTGAACCGTGGGACTGCGGAGGTTGCCAGTGACCTGAGATTCGCGTCACTGGTAGTCCTGCCTGGGCACAAGAGTGAGACTCTGTTCAAAAAAAAAGAAAGATTTGGGAGCCCGAGACGGGTGATCAGCGAGGTCACGGGGACGAACGATGCCGTGCATAACGAACCCATCGGCTACACGGTGAAGCCACATCTCCTAAAAAAATACAAA